AATCGACTCGTAATCTCAACTATTAATATTACTGTAATATCCACATTACCCCTGCTAATATTAAAATGATATTATTGAAAATCTTTATTCTTCGACAAAATGCATTATGATATTTAGGGTTACAACCTATAGGTCGTTTAGCTAGATAGATTAGTTTTGATCGAGAACACAGTTGGCGCCAACTGATTGTATTCAAACACAAAGTTATAGAAGCTCTTAATAAAATATGAGTACCATAAATTAAATACTTCATATCCTTTACATACTATATGATTCTCCCTATTTCCCATTCTATTCTCTTCAACTTGATCTGATTATTCTTCTGAAGCTAGAGTTTCCACTTCCAATTGGTGTTGCATACTACTGATATCAATCGACATAAGTAGCATACATCACACTACTACAGTACATCACTGTATCAGTAACATTTCGAGGATTCTGGTGACAAATATAATTCACTTTCCCAGATCAAACAATTTTAAGATGCTTACAAGCTGAAATTTCTTTGATTGATGTTACATACTACTTATATTTACAGACATAAGTAGCATAAACCATTTGATCAAATAATCAAGTCTTACTAAATCATAGCGAAAGGAAATTCTTTCTTTCTTTTCACTGAAGGTACAACTTATGATGCTCTCAATAGAGTATTATGTTTGCACTCTCAACATACAATCAGTAGATTATTCAAACTAACAAAAGATTGCCTCGATTTAATAAGTCCATGCAATGGTGGTTGGAGGTAGTCGACAGGAAACCCTTGACCTAGGTTTCATGTAATTTGGCACTCATCAGCAACGTGTACCTGGATTATTTTTGAGGAAACTGATGCTCCCTAACGGATTCCATCTCATGTCACCCAGCTTCACAGTCCGGCTCGGATAGCTCAGTGGTCGAACCTGTCAGGTAGTATCAGTTCCCTCAAAAATAATACAGGTGCAGCATAGTGGATGTTTGTTCGAAACTGAGTTGTATGTTATTATTAAGTGTGGATTGAAAATGTAGAGTATCCTTTTTACTCTTGACTCAAAATACCGACTATATGTGAACAAAACCGTTCCCAATTTTTATTTGATTATAGTTGGTGTCAGTTGGTGACAAGAATCCTATAGGGTTATAACCTTTGCCCACAACGCTGATCCAACTCACAATGTGTAAAGTTAACCTTTTTTCCATTACCATAATGAATATTTCAACATATAGGGGTTACTTAATCTTATCAAAACAGTTATTCTAATGTAAATGTACTACTTGGTATGATTAACTATTTTACAACTAAGCAGTGTTTTCTGACTAGTTGATAAGACAATGAAGGTCGTCAGTATAGATTAGTTTTACCAATTTATCCAGACGAATACTGATCATCCTATTTAATGATGAATGAGCATCAGTTCCCTCAAGGTTACATGCATACCTTGCTGACGAGTGTCAAGTAGCATAAAACCAGGGTCCGGAGTTCCCTGATAACTACCTCCAACCACTATCTTTTCTCAATATAGTGCATGCAATGTCGAGTCACCTAGACTAATGACCACATTGCAACTTGGTCGATAGAATTCGATCTGCACTAAGAAGGACTTGACATACATGACATTGATCAGCAGTAAGGAAGAGTAAATTATTTATTAAGGAATGCTGATATTGGATGGCCGTTACGTCGTAGTATAGGAAGACTGAACAGTGCTCATTCACGACCCCGCACACAGGACTCAAACCCAAGACATTCGGTCTCTCGCGAGAACACTTAAACTGTAAACCATCAAGCCGTCATCCAATGGTGCCAATATATAACTTCAATCAATCCACAAAAATTCATAAAAATTCCTTTCTTTTAGAGATTTGTTAAAATTTTGCAGATTTATCATCTATGATTAATATGGCGATTATAAAATGAATTGATTAGCAACACAATGTTGATTGCCAGTTTAAATATCTGCTATTGTATAGATGAACTATGTCATTGAATTAATTCATTTTTGTATTGTTTGTTTGATAAGTCTCTTATTGATATATGAGCATCCAGTGCGGAGTTCCTCGATATTGCCTTAACTCGCAAGTATTGTAAGCAGAGATGGATGGTGGATGGCAGTGAAATCCAGAATGAAAGTTTCGTCCTACCTGAGGCTCGTTAGATGGATGTACCTGCATCTGAGTTTATATTTACTCTGGGACTCGAACCCAGTACTGTTTGCTTCAAACATTAACACATTATCTACTAAACTACTGAGTCAATACATGGTTTGAAATATGATTAGTTCATCATGAACATTTCGAATAATCTAATCACTCACATACTTGTTAAGGCATTATATATATGGAAAGATAAAACATCAACTAAACAAATTTAAGGGGATTTGTGAAGATTGTAATAGTTTAGCAGTTGGATGTTGGCTCAGAGGTCTAGAGGTTAAGCGTTCAAAGGCAAGAATAAAAATCCTGGTTTTGAGTCCCACGTACGAGATCGTAGATACTCACTGACCAAGAGTCCTATACTAGCTATCCAGTTCTTTCAGGATTTCAGTAGTGATCTAGCTGACCTCAACTCATGAATTCAACTACTAAAATTGATACAATCTCCACAAACTCTTATTCTAATAATAATCATCATGTCCTCACTAGTGACTGGCTTCAAGATCAGATTGTTCGAAATGTATCGCGCAAATATATCAGATAATCCTGACAACATTCTGTTGGGAGATCCTGAAAACTACTAGAACAAAGCCAATCAATGCATCTTATCTAATCATCAATCAATAGACGTTTCGCTAGAAACATCTAGAAAGTGGAAAGTCACATGTCGAGTTTCGAATTGGATGATTACCTATACTGCTATAAGTAGTAGCATTGTAGAATTTTCCGGAAGCCCAAGGCCATCTAAAATGCTGCAAAAACCCTGGATGTTCTGTAAATAAACAAACTTTGGGGTAAACCGTTTCTTCCATGTTTCGAGCCTTTTCTTTCATGTACAAGTCATTGTGTAGATTTAACCTGAGGGTTACTAGAAAAGCTTAGGAACCGAATCTAGCATTCAGTTAGAATACTTATCACCTTCATCTTCTCATTCCATTATTAAATTTTATTAAATGAACTTATTTATGGGAAACAATAAGTTATTTCAATGAAAATTAGCCCCTCGGGGGGCTACTGCTGGTCCCAAGCCCGGATTAAGGAGGAGGGTTGAGCATGGGGCTAGTGAACCAATCAGTATAAAACTAACTCGTTAAAGAAACGTTAACCAGAAAAAATTATCCAAACCATTTAAACTCTGCCCTGGGAATCGGGAGATCTTCTCTTAGAAAACTTATGACGCCTCATGGTGAAAGTTGAGTTCCTTTGGAAGTCACCGGGCTGATGCCCCTTCTGACAACCGGAACAACCATTTATTTAGGTTCATGGAATGCTCGTACAATGTGCGAGACCTGGAAGGTCTTCCGAATCGCCATATAAATGAGGAACTACAAGCTGGTAGTGCACGGAATCAGTGAAACACATTGGATGCAGGTTAGACAACAACGACTAGCTTCAGGGGAGCTTCTGTTATACTCCGGCCATGATGAAGAAAATGCCTCACATACACAATAAGTTGCATTGATGCTATCAAAACAAGCTTGAAATGCACTTATACGATGGGAATCTCATGAACCGAGAATAATCAAAGCCTCCTTCAAAACAAAGAAAGAGGGCATTACAATGAACGTTTTCCAATTCTATGAGCCTACCAATGGCAATCAGAGAATTGCAACGAATGAAGCAGAGAAGAGAGAGCGATGTGAAACGAAAGGATGTGCAGTGGAGAGGACATATGGGTCAAACTCCATTTAATCAATATTTATAGCCAGATAAAAATACGTTACTGACATGTAATGAATGGGATAAGATGTGTATGCATACAAACACATATAAGCACATATAACAACAGTCAGGGTTAAGAAGTGAATAATTAAAAAAAGTCAAAACCTGACTCAAGAAGAATGAATAAACTAGCCTGACCAGAAGCTAGAATAAGGTCTATCGGCTTAACATAACAACTAACATTACAACTTCATTTGCACATTTTTCATCAATTGTCCTTCACATCCTTCATGATTCTTCCAATAATCAATTTTTTTCTGTTGATTAATCTTACATACTACTTAAATCTATCACCATATGTAGCATACACCACAATATAATGGATAATCGATTGGAGAAGAATTTTCAATAATTTCACTTGTTTTAGATTAATGAAATGTCTCAGAAAGGGGTTTTATGAATATTATAGTAATTTTTTAGTGCTTGAGATCATGAATCATTCGAAGCTAGATCACCATCGAAAACCTGGAAGCAATGGACGACGGTTTCGTTCTATTGTGGGACTCCTCCTCCACAAAACCTATTCTGATAACAATCAACATATGCTCACTAGTGAATGGCTTTAAGAGGTCTTTCATAGATTTCTGGTGAGAATCAGTGACCGAGTCTGTTTTGAAATCGTAACTCACAGAAGACAATGATGGATGTGTCGCTCAAGTTCGTGAACTAGTTGAAGTTAAACATTAACACCGTTGGATACAGGCCAGCTCAATAGTCTCGAGGTTAAGTACTTGATAGGTTCTGTGTTTGAATATCATGAGACCGGATCGTTGATCCGCACTGATGAGGAGTCCTACACTAGGACAAAACATCCATCCATTACTTCCAGGTTTTTCATGATAGTCTCACTTCCATTGATTTATGATTTCAACTGTTAAACAAAAAACATTCAATGTCCCTTAATTCAACTGAACATGTGAATTATATTAATGAAATAGAAATGGCATGATCATTTCATTCAATTAGTGTCCATTATAAAACTAGTTAAACAGAATTCATTTGTTGACAACAGTAAACAATCAATAGATGAAAGTGTTCATGGTTTGGTGTTTGTTTTTTTGTGTGTTTTTGTTACCAGGTTATATATATATATATAAACTAAAATGTATAAACAATATCATATTAGTGATTAGTTGTATTGTAAAATGTATTGGATGTACATTATTCTACTTTTCATTACTGCTTTATTCAATATAAATAAACAGATAGAAGCTGGTACAAGTAAGTTCAATCATAGTTTCATACATAAATACTATCTCACTTGGTATTGTTTGGCTTATATCTTCCTATTGAGGTTTAAGACTGCAATTGATGCAGGTACATCCAGCTGACGAGTCCCAAATAGGATGAAACGCGTGTCCTGGATTTGACTGCTAGCCACTATTCATCATTGCTTATAAATGCTTTCTGTTCATAATCTGAACTATGATCGATTCTATTTTATAACTATGGGGAACCTTCTAAAGAATGTTAAATGAAACATCATGATTAAACTCAATTGATGAGACTATAATTTATGGACGAAACCAATCAGGTATAAGAAAATAAATCACGGATTTCAGAGAGAAATTCATTCACTCATTCATTTGGATAAATAGAATTTCGGCATTATAACTGATGAAAACCCTAAATCTGATTTCTAACCATAACCATCAATTGTCAGTTATAATTCTAATTCTTTACACAATGGTTTTATAATCCTCATTTGGTCCTGGTTATTAGATAGACACTCTCAAGGTCAGTTCATTGTCGCTCAAAGACCATACATTAATTAAAGTCTCACTGTTTGGTAATGATTCAATTGAAGTGCATGTATTAAAATAAACATTTTCAAAAATCTTAAATTATTTCAGACATATTTCCTTTTCAATAGGATCATGATGATGGTGACTATCAGTGGAATCTAAGATACCCACCTCGTCTTGGTTAGGACTAGTTATCTGGATGTGTCTGTACCCTAGAAAATTGACTTTCACGCTAGAACTCGAACCCTAATGTATTTGACCTTAATTGCCCAATGCTTTATTCAGTGAGCTACTGAAATCAAAAGTACTCACTGTTTTGAGTAATTGAATTAATTTTTAATTTATTTGTATTGGCTGTTTAATTGTTCTTTTTGATATTAGTCAGTCTCCGCATTCCACTGCTAGCCAACGCCGAACTCTGTTTAAGATACTGTTGACTTTATGGAAATATCTAGACAGTCCCAACATGATAAGGATAGCAAATACAAATGAATGTCTAGCTTTAATGTCTGTTATTATTCTTTGCTCAGTATACATGAACGGATCTATTTTAGACCAAAAAAATTCAACAATATCCACAACTTCGTACTTACAATCATCATATGTTCACTAGTGATGAGTTTCGAGGGGACTCAGTAGCTTAATGGATAATATGATGGCGTTTGAAGTGAACAGTACTGAGTTGGAGTCTCGGGATGTACATCAACACTGGGATTCAGGTACATCCAGCTGAAGAGTCGTAAATAGGACGAAACGCGTGTCCTCAATTGCACTGCGAGTCATCATTCATCTTAACTTATGGAACTAAACCATATCGTTTCTAATGAAAAACATTTTCTGCACATTTACACAAATTGATTATTCTATCTATCTCATACATTTAGAAACACATACTACGGTGTAAGTGAAATGTTATATCTTTTCTTAAACTTGGAAACGAATTGATTATCTAACGTTATACACACTGTTAAAATGATGTAATAGTGTAATTTATCTTCAGTAGGTTAAGTTTATACCTAATTACAAATCTATAAATTGATTTTGTATTGTTTGTTTGGATCTCACCACTGATGTTTAGGTTTGAAATAGATCAGTATGATGTGAATCTTGTAAGGATTGCCTCGATATTAATTTCATTAACAATCATAATATGCAGTGATGGATGTTGGTTAACAGTGAAATCATTTCTAGTCAACTTGTAGATGGAGGACCTACCTAAGTGGGAGGTCGACAAATCCTCATTCCAAACCATTTACACACATGAGCTCCAGGATCTTGAGCAAACGAATAGGGTGCGAATCTTTTGTTGGTCACTAGCTATTATGGGATTGTATCTCCTAACGATGCTCCACCGCCTTATGAACTAGATCTTTAGGTCAATGGCTCGGGGTGCGGCCCTCTAAAGAAAACACCTGATTCTGTTTGAACACTTAAGCCATATTCTAGCTCTCACACAAATCAACCGATGAAATATGGTGCATATGTTTTTGGTGCCACTTCATAGCAATGTTTATGCGTTTAAATAAATGTTAGTAACTTGTAGATTAAACGCATTCAGATATACCATATACATTGTATTTGTAATGAAATGGACTGAAGAGAATAGTCTAAAAAATTTTCTTTGTTAAGTGTTGTATTGAAGGACGGCGAATGTAAGTTTACATGTTTTTATTAGTGATTATCAAATGATAAATAACTATCACAATGGAGTTGTAAAGATTGTTGAGTTTATAATTGAGATTATGAATCGAATAATGCTAAACCACCATTAAAACACCTAGAAGCATTGGACGACCGTTTTGTCTCGGTATAGAGATCTTCATCATTGCTCATCCACAATCTTACACACAGTAGTATTCAAACTCAAGATATTTGAACGCTTAACCTGTAGACCATCAATTCAGAATTCATTTAATTCACAAAATTGTGCAATCATCTTTTATGGTCACAACTTCGCACTAGATCTTTCAGAATTACATCTTGAAGCTAGTCACTAGTGGACATATGATATCTAAAGTTACATCTCGACGTTATTAATGAATGGTCACTGTTGAGAAATACTTATGGATTAATACTATACATAATTTTTTATTGTATAATTGTTAAGTAACTAAACTATGCATATTCATGTTCCTTTCATCACAGGCTTTATTTTGACCTATGGACTATTACTGTACGATTTACCATTCTTGAGTTATGCCCAGTCTATGAACTGCTGTCTCCTACATTCACAGCCACTTTTGACTGAATCTTGTATGAAGTAATATGGTCTATTTGGTTTCTATATAAACGTAGTATGTTTGAAATACATGATTCATATCGTGGAGGTTGAGATTGATGTTCTGAACTTAACAGACAAGGCTAGACAAGAAGAAAGACCGATAAGAACTCTAGGCTGCTCAGTGGTCCAGTTGATAAGTCACTGTTCTCTTGTTCTTGGCGATATCATTAGATTATACATATATATACTGATAGGCCACAAGGCAACAAGTTATAACATATATATAATTAATTGAACTCTGTCAATTGTAAATTCCCATTGTAGCTGGGAAAGCAAATTCCACCGGAAGCCCAACTATGTGAGTTAATATTTTGGACGTGGGAACATTATGTCATATGCTGATATTTAGTTTACCATAAATTTTACTAATACAATTTTTGTGAATGTAACTTACTTCTTTTAAATAGCAAGATGTTATATAACAGATTAGATCAAGATAATGAAATGATTGATGTTCTTATCAAGCTGATAAGTAAATATTTCTCATTATGGGGTGGTAAAGATTGTTAAGTTTATGATTCTGAGCATGAATCGATCAATGTTGGACCACCATTGAAAACCTGAAAGCATTGAACGTCCGTCTCGTTCTAATACGAGACGACCCGGCGGTGCGTATCCACAATCTCACACGTGGGACTCGAATCCAGGACTTTCAATCTCACGCTCGAACTCTTAACCTGTTGACCACTGAGCTAGATGTTATCTAACGGTGTTAATATGTAACTTCAAGCAATCCACGTAATTGAGCGATCATTTTCCATTGTCTAATGTAGATACCTATCTCTGCCTGATGTAGATTAGCTCCACTGTTTATGGCTTCTCACTAGAACTTCGAGAATTACTTCACGAAGCTAGTCACTAATGAGCACATGGTAATTATTGGTGTAGGGTTGTGGAGATTGTTAAATATTTGTAAGATTATCAATGTGCAGTATGCTATCCGTTGGTATATTTGGACTCCACTGAGGAAGTCTTCTTCTTCAGTATCAATGATATAACTGAATTTGTTTTGTACGGGAAATGATATAATCCTAATTTAATTAGCTCATAAGTGGAATACAGATTAAATGAATTCAACCTAATCATTACAAATTATCTTATCTATAATTATTGAACTGTTTGTTATCAGATATACAGGATCATCTGTGATTTGAATCTGTTTATTAGTCATGTTACTAACTTGAATTTAGATACATGAACCTAGATGTAACTTCTGTCTGAAGTTTGTGCTGATGATGTCATCCAGAAGAACGATGAAAGCTCTACGACCAGACAACCCAGTTCAAAGAACAAGATTTCATCAAAAAACTAGATGTAACTGTTATAAGATGGTGGAGAAATGTGGAAATTTCGGATAGAGCCAACTTCAAAAACATCAGATAATTTTCAGAACCTTGGTACTCAGGTCAATCAACAAGCACATTGAAATCGATCTAATTTATTAATCGATTAGGAAAATATAAGAACAAAAATCAAACCGATGAGAGATACAACCAAGAAGTGAACAATGATAGGTTTAACGTCAACAAGAATCAATCAACATCGAGGTCTACAGGACAAACCGTGAACCATGTGTAGAGAAATTTGAACGCTTCACTTCTATCTGAAGGTTTTGCTGATGGATGATGTTATTCAGAGGAACGTTGAAGGGTTCACGACCAAAACATCCAGCTCAGAGGACAATACTCAATCAAAAAATTGTAACTATTATGTTATATTATGGGATGTCATTAGTTAATGTATGATTTACTTGTCATTTCGAGAATAAACATGAATTCATTAGCTTTCTTATTCAGATGATATTGATAGTTTACATAATTATAAACTAGATATAATACATGTAATGAATGAAGAACTTAGCTGAAGAAGACAATTCAAAATCGTATAGTGATTTGGTAAAATATAAAACTGATACATTTTCTTTGCATTGTCTTTTACATACTCCATTATTCTTCTTATTCTATTGTTATTTCAATTGCTCGCAGATTTCTTTACTGTCCAGTTCATTGTAATCTTCTTCTGTTAGGTATTCCCGACCGTTGTTGCTACCTTGACGTGGTGGGCGGGCTTGCCTATCTTGATGAAGCAACCGAGCTATACTGGCTGGAACAACCGTTCCTCAAGGTCCTACCATGTCAGACAGGTCGGTTGAAGAGCGGTAAGACTAAAAGCAACAAACCCAAGGTCCGAAGGCGAAGTCTTACTGCTGACTGTACAGAAGTGTGACAGCAGTAAGGTGTCTCCTTTAAACAACCAGCATGACAGCGATGCTGCCTTCCCACAAGGAGGGGTGGGGTTAGAAAAGGTCGACCCTAAAAATGCACACCTCACCTTACCTCACGGATTTCCGTCTCCGGCGGTAAGGCCCTTTGAAGAACGGAGCTAACACGTCAAAAACCTCCCACGAAAAGGCCGTGCGCGACCGGCCTCAAACAGTTGTTCCTTGGGCACTGCGGTCACGCTCTCACGTCACTGAGACCACCTCTAATCCAATTTCCTTTTCAGGTACCTCCAGAAGAACCCTTCCTCGGTGTGGGCAACCGGGAAGTGATAACCGCCCTCATACCTGTAACAGCACCCAAGACCACTGTATTCATAATCAACCTCCGTCTTCACTTCCTATTATTCCTCCGACATCGACTTTCAACTCTAAACTTCCTCTTTCGGCTTCCTCCTCGAGTGTCACCATAGCCAACGATTCTAGTGCTCAAAACTCTGTCCCAGCTCTACTGAAACCTCGCTCCAAACTACACATTGGAGCCTTCAACGTACGCACCCCTCTGTTAGGCATTCCACTTTCGATTAATGTTACATACTACTTATATCTATCAACATAAATAGTATAAACATTTGTCTTATTCATATTATCAATATATTAGAATCAATCTGTTTGCATTCTTCATTCTCTGATTACTTCATTGAATAGACCTACGAAGTCTGGAGAAAATAACTGTAAGTTGACTGTTTACCACATAAATGAATAAGAATTTCTGTATTACCAAAACAATACACATCGAAATACTGTCGTTCGAATACAGTTATCAATCCGTTGTACACCTATATGGAACTGCTGACAAGACTATTAATTTATAGACGACCTTTGAACGAATCCTAAGTGACTTTCAGAAAGATGAACCAATCGGAGAACAGTTAGTATAAAGTAAAAGTATTTTATATAAAAACCAAAGAATTAAAGTGGATACAGTTCTTTTGAATGGTTCAAAAACTTGTCAAGGTTAGAAAGAGGTTCAGAGGTTGTAAAACCGTAATGCACAAGGTAGAGGAAATCATCCATTTGTCTCTACTATAGTCGGCATCTGGAACCATGATAAAGTCGCCAAAACTCTTTCAGCCTCGATCACATAGCTTCAAAATTATTTATGTGTACTCCAGTTGTTGAGTGCAAAAAATGCCGCTTTTGAACAACGTTCTTCAACCATTCGTATACAATGTAGTCCCCGATTGTAGCCCGTGTTACTGATGCTTTAATTATTCAGTTTGCAACAATTGTCATAATTTCTCTTTGTCTTAATTTGTATCGAGCGAGAAAAATTCTATTCTAGAAGACTTCTTCCTACAACACACATTACACCGAAATAAAACATCATTATGGTAGTTTGCACAAGCTCCACAAGTCGTTTAATTACCACAATCACAAATAAACAAATTTCTTGCTAATCCCATTTGTTGTAGCCACTCAATTATCATGCTCTCTCTAAAATCCTCTATGAATCGATCGCACATGAGCATTGGGTAGTGAAATTGGAGCCGTGAATTTGGGACCCTTCAAACTCATCCGATTGACTCGTCCATAAATTGTAGTCTCGTCAAACTGCTATCTATACTGACCAGTTCTCTTGTGAAATCTCATTTCGTAACAAGGTGTACTTAAGCACTAAAATTAAACCGTTTAATTATCATGTAGAATTAAATAGCTCAACGACTGGTTTACGAATAAAGTGTCACTGTTCAACATTATTCATTGTTCATGTAATTCTATATGGATAATGCAATCGATTTGTTTTATTAATTAAAAAGAAAACTCCAATTCTGTTAGTTATCTGGTGTATGCTACTAATGTCTGACGATATAAGTAGTATGTAACAGCAATCAGAAGTAGAAAACTGGGCAACAGCAGGATAAGAAACACTGGCTTTCACCATCTATGTACATGTTCAGTACACTTATGGTCAACACATTTATTGATTTTAAATGCATTTTATAGCCATTGAAGTGAAACCACCAGCAGGGGGACCCTCGTGAGTTCATCTATTTCATTATTGATTTTTTGTTCTTAGTCAAGTGATATTCAATTCACTAATCATATAGAGATTGTCCTTAAGGTGTTAAGGGAAATTCATGTTGATATGAATCGGTAAAAAATGAATAAAGTAATGAGCGTTTATCAATTGATTGATCATGGGGTGGTGGTCAATGCCATGTGTATCAAGACCTTATTTAGTGCAGACACTGCGTGCACTATAGACTAAGATAAGATGGTGGTTGGAGGTAGTCGACAGGAAACCCTGGGCACGGGTCTCGTGCTACTTGGGACTCATCAGCAAGGTGTACCTGTAGTCTTGAGGGAAGTGGTGCTCCCTGGAGGATTCGATCCCATGTCACCCAGCTTCACAGTCACAGACGTTAACACTGAGTTATCCGAGCCGCGTATTAAGTAAACAAGACAGATTATGACCACATTGAGGCTGTTCACTTATATTCAGTTAATTAATCAAACGAACAAACAGAATATAACAACTTCACATTTTGCATACTTGAAACTGTATTCGAATTACAATGAATTTAGAAAACAGAAATATTTGAAACCATGTAACTGTGGTGTGTGTGCTACTTATATCCACATAAGTAGTATATAACGATTGTCAGAAATAAGGAATCTGAAAAATAAGAAAAACGGAAACAGAAAGCGATTGGTATGGAAGTGAAGGAACACTGAAGTCTGAAACGATTGACTGATATTTGCATGTAGAACAGTCATGTTTGAGACGATTGATTGACATTTCACAAATGAACGATTCGCTATGTGGTTCTCAGATTTCACTGAGATGTTCTCAAACTTTGTGTTGAAATACATTCAACTATCTCCACTTGTGTTCTCATTCACTACCTTTGGTCTCGCTGTCAACCAACAGGTAGAAAGTGTGCAGTTCCGTGCACACCGATACAGGCCTGGAACTGATATGCTAGTTGGTATGCTGTGTGCTACTTATATCGACATAAGTAGGATGTAAGATTAGTGAGGGATAGAATGTCTGAAAGTACAAGAAAGTGAAGATCTAGAAAGAAGAACGGGAATTGAAAGTAATTGTGAGTGGAAATGCAGGAATAATGAAGTCTGAATCTATGAATTATCGTTTTACAAATTAAGTGTTAGAGTATGGGTTTCTCGATTTTATCAAGTAGCCCTGTCATTTTGTGCTTAATATAATCGGTTGTTCTCACCTGTAATCTATATCATTACATAACTGAATGAAGTGAATTTATACTTATCCACAATAATACCGATTTGCTTATGATTCGACCACTATACAAATCAACTATTGTCTAGAAATTTCATTCATAGTCTCATATGAATTTGATTGCTTTGTAGGAATGAGAAGGATGGTGATAGGAGTCGTAAGTTCAAGCTAGTTCAATAATGAAATTTATGAATGATAAATATTTCAACCATAACTTATGTCATTGAAATAATGAATCTGTTACAGTTACATCTTGATTGGCAACTTGGAAGTACTAAATGGTCATTTCGTTTTAGTATAGATCTCCTCAACAGATCGGATCCATTACTCCATATTCAGAATACTCAACCTCATAACAGAACTCTTTACCATTAGAACTTTAATGAATGCACGACAGTGAGCAATCGTCCTCCATATCCGATGCGCTTGAACTTCATTGTTCACGGTTTTCCACTAAAACTCCAGTAATTTTCTTTCAGAGATACCCACCAATAAACAAATATTAATACGAAGAGATCGTCAATAAGAAATCACACTTACTCCATTATGAATAGCACAATCGTTGTCTAAATAAGTAACCTTTCAGAATAAATTGATTATTCGATATTATTTCTCTTAATAGCAAGTAGCATGGATCCTTCTACGAATCCACCTGGGTAAGTTAAATGAATTTTAACGAAAACAGTTGATTCTTTTGCCATTAACCTATTTTCAATATTTATTTAGCTGCCATGTTTTCAAGTTAAGCATTCGCGTATGAAATCGAAGGTCCTGAGTTCGAATCCTACTTTCTCTTTATACATTTGAACATAACATTTTTCTCGTTTAAAGATCCCCATCATATTAAAAGACTAATATTTGAACGATGAATATTCTTTTCGATAAATTCTCTTCAGGTTCTACATTTATCCCATATGCAAATTAGTAATCCTATAAATGATCAGGTTAATGGCATAGTACATCGTTAAAAGCATGTTAATAGGTCCACAAACCGGGGATCGCATTAAGACCTATTCTAGATAAGTATAAATCTCCTTAACATACTATAGCTAAATGGTTGATAACTGTATTGAAACCTCTACACGAAATGCTTGTAAAAAATATAGTGTTTATGATGTTTTCCAATTTGTTGATAAAATCAAAAATGCAAATACGTTGGGACTAAAGATGACGTCATTGGATGTAACATCGTTATTCACAAACGTCCAATTCATAGAGACTGTAGAATATATAGGTAAACAGCTGATTGAAAATGAAATTGAAACTACTGTTCCCATTAATGTTGTGAAAGAGTTATTATTCAAATGCACCATGAATGTGAATTTCAAGTTCAACGGTGATGATGTTGCAATGGGTTCACCACTAAGCCCTATACTAGCTGATATTTTTCTGGCCAAAGTAGAAAATTGTCCACATTTTAATGTAGATACATGAATGACACGTTCATCCTCTGTAAAGATAATACGTCACCGCAAGAGGTTCTTAGGCGATTTAATGAAGTACATTCAGCCATTCAGTTTACATCTGAAGAAGAGAGTGATGGTTGAATAGCCTTTTTGGACGTTCTCTTGACTGAGAGAGCGGATGCATCGTTAAGAAGGAACTTGAACAGAAAAAGTACATGGACTGGACAATATGCAAATTTCCGGAGCTTTGTACCCTTACAGTACAAACGAAACTTGATCAAAACCTTTAGTTACCGTATATACACTATATGTTCTGGTGATATAGTTAAACAAGAGCTTAACACCTTGCATAATACTCTCAGAGAGAACGGCTACCCTAGAAAGATTATAACTAAATATATGGTCACGAAGGTGAAAATAGGCGAAATACAAACAGTGAAGAAATCCCTGTTCATGCGTCTACAATTCAGAAGGGATGCGGCTAGTGAAATATTAACTCAGAGATTACGTAGGAAAATACAAAAGTCTTTTAGCGCCGGAGAACTGCGATTAGTATTTTCTACGCGCCCAGTGGTTACACCGAGGCTATAAGATGAATTACCTAGAATAACCACCTCATTTTGTATTTATCAGTTTGACTGCTCCTGTGGAGCCAGTTATATTGGTCGAAGTTCTAGGAATTTACATGTTCGTGCTCGTGAACACTTTCCAGCTTGGCTAAACGAAGGTTTAATAAAGAAAGTGAACAGCTCATTATCGGCCTATTTAGTACAAACCGGCCATAGTGCCAGTATAAACCATTCTTTTTTTCAATTATTTATAAGGTCAGTAATTTTTTGTCAAAACTGGTCAGACTAAAAATCCTTCAAACAGCTGAAGCAGTAGACATCCGGATGAAGAAACCGGAGCAATGCGTACAGAAGAAATATGTTCAGCCACTCCTCCTCCCCTGGCCAACATCAAGGCCAATTAATCAATCGTAATCTTAACTATTGAATGACCCAATTTGACTATGACCTTTCGTAGTCAATTGTAATTGTCCCTGTTATCTTTATTCATAAATCTTTGTATAATTATAGTTATTATTATTATTATTATTATTATTATTATTATTATTATTATTATTATTATTATTATTATTATTATTATTATTATTATTATTATTATTATTGGTTAAACATCATTAATCTCCCTATACATGATTCATTCACTTCGCATTCATCCCTCCGTATTACGTCTTACTTATTTGATCGAATTGTAATTGCACTATTATTTCTCTCTCACCCTATTTGACCCATAATTAATCTGATCATGAGTTAGATGGTGGTTGGAGGTAGTCAACAGGAAACCCTGGACCCGGGTTTCGTGCTACTTGGCACTCGTCAGCAAGGTGTACCTGTAATCTTGAGGGAACTGGTGCTCCCTGGCGGATTCGATCTCATGTTACCTAGCTTCACAGTCAGCGACGTTACCACTGAGCTATCCGAGCCGTGACTAACCTCCTGTAGGACTGAGATGTAATCACAATTGATTGATCACTGGGTGGTGATCAATGTCATGCTTGTCTAGTCCTTATTAGTGCAGATCGAATGCTATCGATCATGTTGCAATTAACACCTTGCTGACGAGTGCCAAGTAGCACGAAACCCGGGTCCAGGGTTTCCTATTGACTACCTCCAACTACCATCTAAATCTCAATACATAGTGCCCGCAGTGTCGAGTCACCTAGACTGGTGGCCACATTGCAACATGATCGATAGCATTCGATCTGCACTAATAAGGACTAGACAAGCATGAGATTGATCACCACCCAGTGATCAATCAATTGTGACTGATCATGAGTCTTAACGATTTCACTTAACATATACGCAGATTCAAGTTAACATTCTATATGTGTCATATTAACATTAACAGTTTTATTGTAGTTTGTTTATCACAATCCTAAATTTACATGCTTTAAACGATGTACTTTGCACTGGCTATGTTTCGGATTATTAATTTGGATAGGGGATAATTATAGAACCTGAAGCGAATTTATCGAAAAGAATATTCTTCGTTCAAATACCAGTCTTTTACTGATTGAAATCATGAGTCAATTGAAGCTAGATCACCATGGAAAACCTGGAAGCACTGGACGGTCATTTCGTCCTGGTATGGGGCTCCTCAGCAGTACGCATCCGTGACCCTGCTCCCCGCGAGATTCGAACCCATGATCCATCAGTCTCGCGTCAAGCGCTTAACCAACTAGACCACTGAACCTTCATCCAACGGTGTTAATGTCTAAATTCAACCAATCCATGAAGTTGCGCCACCGTAAACCATGGTCTTCAGTGAGTTCCTATCTCACAACAGACCTGGTTGAACTCCATTGGCAACGGCTTCTCACTAGAACTCCAGGAGTGTCTCCTGAAGTCAGTCACTAGTGAGCAGGTGATTATTATTATCAGAATAGGTTTTGTAGAGATTTTTAAAAAATTTCACTGGTTGGAATCATGAGTCAATTGATGACATTTTTCATTTATACATAAGATTTATTAACGAGCACTATCTTCGTTTGTTATTATCCATATCACATATTCTGTGGGTACTATCTCTTCGTACATTACTGTGTATTATTTTCATATCGTTCCAAAACTTTCATTTGAATATATAGCTGAAGAGCTTGATAAGAAAAGAGAATATTTCTTCGAATGCTATGTTCCTTTTTTCATCACTTAATCAGATTCAGTAGGCAGATCACGCCTGACGGAGAATATCCTACATTCTCATGTTAACAGGGTTGTGGAGACCAAAGATCCTGAATTCGAATCCCATATGCGAGATCGTGGATACGCACTATTGTGTCGTCTCAGTGCATTCTTACAATCATACTAGGCTTATCTATAAGTAATAATTGAGTGTCTACGCAGATTGCCAATAACAAGTTGAAATTTACCCACCTCACCATCGTATCTCATTTTTGTAATTATTGAAAAGAGATATGTTTAAAACAACAAAATTCGATGATCTGATTCACTTCTATTCCGTTTGTAACACGGTAACAGTAATTTACGTATACTTTGATAAATGAACAAGTCAGCTGATAATCATGAATTTCATCTATGCTCTTATATATTATTGATTGTGTTGAAGAAACGACAAGGAAAAGAATGATAGTAAGTGTAGTAATGTTCTATAATTGACGAAATGGCTTTGATTATTACTTTAATATAATTGCAGTATACAAATGTCTCTTAATACGATGATAAACGATCACGCGTGAAATCGATAGGTCTTGAGTTTAGATCTAGCGAGGTGGTATCGTGAATGCCCACTGGTGAAGAGTTCCACAACAGAACAAAACGGCCATCTAGTGCTTAAAGGTTTTCTCTAGTAGTCTAGTTTCAATTGAATCATGATTGCAACTGTCAAAACTTACAATGATAAATGTTTGGTAGTTTCATATTCAGATTGATAATGTCGTTAATCTTCATTATTTTAAGTATAAACTATGCGATGGATACAAGGATACCAAAAAAATCAGATCAAATTTCATTTCATCCACAAAATGGGGATTAAAGTGTAGTAACAAGCCTATTAAACTATTTTTTTATTACTTCAATGATATGAGGTCCTTGTGTTCAAACTTCTCACTGAAATCTCATATTCATAAATGTGATCAAGAAATGTTAATAAACAGACCCAACATACTTTTCATCCTACTTTTCTTAAGTATTCAACAATTCAAATGTAGAGTTAACTTTTGAATATATGAATATCTCACTGGTCAGAAACAAGCCTCGAAAGATTCTACAAAGAGCTAGGTTAATTTGATAAAGATGAATTATTTACTTACTTACTTACTTAGTCCTGTTAACCCTCATAGAGGGGCATAGGCCGATTACCAGCATTCTCCTTCCTAATCAGTCTTGCACAATCCATTCCATTTGCTATTCTTCCCCTCGGGTCATTGATGGATGCATAACATTGGATAATATTCATTAAAATTCGCTCGTTCTTTGTTTTGAAGAATGCGCTAATGATCCTGAATTCATGAGATTCTCATCCTATGACTACATGACGTGCTTCTTTGAACATAAAAATGAATTAGTTAAATTTAAATCGATATGAACAATATTCCTAGAAAAAATCCTATATTCATATACATGATCCTGTGGTAGATAAGCCAAAGATAGATGGTGGCTAACAGCGCAATCCAGAACGCACATTCCATATTATTTGTGACTTATCAGAGTTTATATTCGCCGTTCATCTTAAACACCATCATGTTATCCACTTAGTTACTGAGTCCAGATAGTCACTAATTTGTGCAAATATAAGACTATTCAATTTCAGTTCTAAACATTAAGCGGACTATTCAAACAAACAAGACAAAAATGAATGATACCATTGATAAGCCATTTGAATGTAAGTGAATAGGACAATACAAATAATTGTATCAAATCTTTATTTCTATGTAGATGGAAGCCCAAGTACATCAGAAAGTCCTCCTGAGTAAGTCAACGCAGTTTGTTTAATTATCACTTTAGTCTTTTTTCTTTACTTTTCTTACTGATTCTAACAAGTGGCACCAAAAGTAAATTACTTTAAACTGTGTCTACTAAGTCGTCGAAGTTAAGTATTTTTAAACTATCTATCATCTGACAAAATAAAACTGACTTTAGTTTTAGTCAAATTAAATCCATAGAAGTCATTCGAACTGTAGTGAACGAGAACACAATTGTGGATAACCGAATGTATTTGAACACAAAATTACAGAACCTTCTATTGAAATCTAGGAACCATACAGTAAATACTTCATTTACAAAATATCAATCAATCGTCACTCACTTCATTGTTCTTTCGTCTCCACACTGATTATTCTTTGTTCTCATTCTGTTTTCTTTGATCTTCTTAACCTTTTGCAAACAGACATTTCACTTTCGATTGATGATACATACTACTTACACCGGTCGACATCAGTAATATACACAACAAAAATAAGCAGAATATCTTTTCATACATCTCGACTGTCATCAATCCACTGATCAATCAATTCTTTTTATTATCAGCAGTTTTTGGACATTGATTAAATTTTTGGATATAATTAGAGATCATTATTATGATTTCGTCGTTTCAAGAACACTTGAACGTATCGAAGAATTCCAATTTATTTTATTGAAAGTATTGAAATATTAAAACATTTGCCAAGATTTATTAGTGGTCTACGTACGAAATACTATGAAGTAGTACGATATGAATTGTTTGTAATTATTGATTTTTATCAGAAGGGGTTTGTGGAGATTTTAGAAATTACACAGATTGAAATCATGAGTCAGTTGAAGCTAGACCACCATGGAAAACCTAGAAGCACTGGACGGCCGTTTTGTCCTAGCATGAGACTCCTCAGCCGTGTGCATCCACGATCCTGCACCCTGCAGGATTCGAACCCAGGACCTACTGGTTTTCACGCGCGAGCACTTAACCATTAGACCACTGAGCCGGCATCCAACGGTGTTAACATCTAACTTCAACCAATCCACGAAGTTGCGCCACTGTAAACCATTGTCTTCAGTGAGCTGATATCTCACAACAGACCTGGTTGAACTCCACTGGCCGTCCAGTGCTTCCAGGTTTTCCATTGTGGCCTAGCTTCAACTGACTCATGATTTCAATCTGTGAAATTATTGATTTGTTGAAAGACAGCTGACGAGTCTCAAGTAGGACGAAACGTACGTCATGAATTCCATAGCTGGCCACTATCATCGCAGCTTACAGTGCTTGTGACTTAAGGCAATATCAAATCAATCCGTACAGGATGCACATACGCCAATAAGAGACTGATGATTTGTAGGCCTAATCATCAATAAGAAGTTTTAAGCAACGAATAAAAAAATAGATCCGGTTATTCTATTGATGAATATTCTATCCTATCTTTTAAGCAGAGAAAATCAATCTTGTCATGTATAATTATCTCAATGTAGCACAATGGAACCATTTGTAAACATTAATTACATCTTTGCATACTGTATGTATATGTTTGCGTGTACTTAGGAAATATGTCACCACATAGTTCTGATAATCTTCATCTTCTTATTACACTATCGAAATTTATCAAAAGGGACTAATTGCTCCATGTTAACAACATGACGCTTAACATGGTCAGATTGTCATGATCTTATTTGGTGATTCTTATCTGATTCTACGGCAATGATTTTGATTTTCATTGCTACTCAATGAGCTGATTCATAGGAAAGTGTCCGTATTTAAGAAAATAAACAAATTTTGCATGATTATACCTGTACAACTGTCATCTAAGCTTCTTTGAACCGGGAACATGAATTCCGACAATATGAGATTGAATTAGAATTACTCTGACACTTAAAAGACAAAAAAGATAATCTCATTATCACAGTTTACAATCTTGACTGTACTGACTTGATTAAGTCATGGTTGACTTGTTGACAAATGGCAAGATTCTTATTTGATCACTTTTTCAATACAACAAACATATTTATATAGACTTGACGAAGATCAAATAAACAAGGGTGAATAAAACTTTTACCACTATTCTTTATTTGTTTGTTTTCTATAAACAGTGAGAAAAAAAATAACTCAAGTGAACGTAAGTTTAATTTTCGAACTTTTCAATTTTCTAATATCCCAGAGTGAACATCAACTCTGAGATGCTGGTGCATCCAGCTGACGAGTCCCAAACAGGATGAAACGCGCATCCTGGATTCCACTGCTAGCCACTATCCATCCATCTTTGCTTATAATGCTTGTAAATTAAGGCAATATCAAGGCATACGCACAGTATGCACATATACCAATAAGAGACTGATCAATTTCAGTCCTAGAACATCAATGGGAAGATCTAAGTAAAACAATATCCTTGGTATTGTTTGTTTATATCTTCTCATTATTGTTTAGGACTGCAATTGATCAATCTCTTCTTGGCATATGTACATCCTACGAGAGCTGCCTCGATATTGACTTAAGTCACAAACATTCTAAGGGAAGATGGATAGGATCCAAGACGTGGGTTCCGATCTATTCGAAACTCTTCAGCTGGATGTATCAGCATTTCAGAGTTGATGTTCACACTGGAACTTCAATCCAGTACTGTTTGCTTCAAACCCCATCGCGTTATCCACTCAGCTACTGAGTCTTGATAGTCACCTGCTAGTTTACTTTTATCTTTCCACTGTTATATAAGGCTGCAATTGATCAGTTTCTTATTGGCTCAGAGTGATCATCAACTCTGACATGCAGGTACTTCCAGCTGACGAGTTGCGAATGGGACGATACGCGCGTCCTGGATTCCACTGCTAGCCACTATCTACACTCTTTAATACCCTGTTGATACAACGCTTCATATGACGATTACATTGATTATGAAATTGATTTTTGCATACTTTGAATGAATACCTGGAATCACTGAACGGTCGTTTCGTCCTGCTATTGGAATCCTCAGCGATTTGATATTTACAATTACTTTGATAAAAACATGTTTACAGCACTAAAATAATAAATATCTTACCACATATTGACATAGAATAGATGAAATGTGACTAGTATTGAGAATGAGAATCTTCAATTCGTTCTATTGGAGGTGAAGTTCGTTGAATCTATCTGAACCTGAGTTGATGTTTACTACAGAATTCGAACCTTAGTATTGAGAATGCAAAATGTAGCTTTATTTTTGATGTTTTCATAAATATTATTACTTACTTATTCAAATATGGTTTGCTTCTTCAGATAAAGGAGGAAAGTCACCAGAAACCCCAGTCAA